ATTTATAGCTGTATATACAAGGCAAGGGTCTTTTTTCCAGCTGTCCCAGTAGCCAAGAGGCCGCTGAACTTCTCTATTCTGTCCCTGTATACCCAGACCCAGCCTTGCAGCAGCCACCGAATGAAAAAACACTCAAAACAACCTGCCTCATGCTGTCCCAACAGAGCAACTCATTCATTTTGAAATACTGTAAATATGAGCCCAGTGCCAACCAGGTTTACCAAAGCTCAGGCTTGGGTACATTCAGCTCCTGAGCTTCTCTCAGAGCAGACTGGGAGAGGAGTGAAGCTACGGCACACAGAGGGCAGGACGGATGGTGTTTCTCAAAGTTAATGGAACTCTCACAACAGATGTGATGTATCCGTGACCAGGAATGAACTGCCTCCTATTGAACTCTTATTGGAGGATTTAAAATTATTTAAAGATAATGGATGACAGCATCTTTATCAGTCTCAGCCTTTTGCTATTTTTTTAGGCTCCAATTATACCAAGATGCTTTTATAGATGTAAAGCTGATGGAAAGCATGATTACAGTGTTGTTTGATTTTGAATTCTGCTTAACGAAACTCTTGTCTTGTACAAGGAGGTAGCATTACAGGCACGTCCTATTCACAAAGGCTGCCATGGTTCCCAGGATGGCTTTTCCATCCTGGCTCTGCCAGTGCAGCCATGCCACACAGCACTCAAGCACAGGCAAACACGCAATGTGTTCTCATGTCGAATGGGCAAGTTACAGAGGTGGTGTCACATTAACCCAGATTTAACCTTTAATGGAGAAATTTGCAGCCCACACGCTAGTTTGAAGCTGATGTAAGCCTTATTTTGTGAGGGTATGTAGGAAGTGACCTGAACAGGGTTCGTGCGATTCTTCTGCATGAGAGAGGAGCTGTATTGGTGATGATGGCTTTCTCACATCATTCCGAAGTACAGATTAATGTCACATCTGACTCATCCACAGGCGTGTTCTGTTGGTTATGGCAGATAATGCACATCTCTCCCAGTGAAACGTTAACATCCCTGCACATTTTCAAAGCAAAGCACTGAAATATTTTCCATCTCGGGGACAAGCTGTCACTTTGAAGGGCACAGCAGCACAACCTTACCCGGTGTGGGTGGGGGCTCTCTGCTCTTAGTGAAATTCCTCCGGCAACAGCTAAATTAAAGTGCCTCTTCTTTTTTCCTTCTCAAGCCAGACACAACATTCCTGGGCACCTCTGTCTTGCCACTCACAGCACCGGAGGCAAATTCAATACAGCAGATGAAAAAATTTAGTGGAAAGAAAAGGAGGTGCTCCATCTGAAACCAGCAGCTGGGCCTGGAGGTTCTGGTTCTAGAAATGACATGAGGCTGCAGGGATGGGGTGTGTGTGTACCTGAGTAACACCCTGAACTTCTCATTTCACGTCCTGGAGATAAGGTGCCATTCACCAAACTCCCCTGGGGGTGTTCAAGAAGTGTAGAGAAGTGGCACTGAGGAACGTGGTTTGCAGTGAGCGTGCTGCTGTTGGGCTGATGGTTGAACTCAGTGATCTCAGTGGTCTTTTCCAACCTTAATGATTCTATGGCTCTATGAAACTTTTCTACATGAAACTCTGTGGCTTCAGGCCCAAAGGAGGACACACAAGATGGTGGGCAGGCCCTCAGGGTGGGTGGGAGGAGCACAGCCCCTTTCAGACGGGGCCATTCAGACAACAGAGTGATCCAGCAGCCTTTGGTTCAAGTAGGAAAGAAAGATAAGCTTAACCAAGAAATCACTATCTGGACAGAAAATGGAGGATGATCAGTGCATTTATCAAAAGAGCAGCAGGTTGTGGCTCAGACCCTTTGTTTGAAACAGCCTAGCATAAAACAAACTTAGATAAAATTCTCATTAACTCTGTATCTGTCCCCAAGTTCCAGATAAGTTGCATCATGAGGCTGTCATGAACCTGCAGCTAGAGCAGATGAGAGCTGGATGAAGCTCAGAGACACCCACGCTGTGGACTGGGCAATGCGGATAGCACAAAGTCCCAGCTCTCTCCTGCTCCTCCCACCGACCCCAGCGCTTCCTCCATCTCTGCAGCACTGCAGAGGCGTTCTGTGCACAGAGCCCACTGGGCGCCGAAGGCAGAACTTCAGGCAGATGCTGCAATGGCTCTCGGAGTTGCGAAGAGATGAGTTACTTAGCAGCTGAGGGTCCGCATGATTAAATGCTAATGAAAGTGGTGACATATAAAAAACCCACTGCAAACAGCAAGAATAAAAAAAGTGAGAGCATTTATTGCCACTGATGCTTGTTTTAGTCTGTTCTTCCTGGCGAAAATGAATCTTTTATCCTTCTGACATCACCAAAAATAGAACAAGAGATAATTGCCATTCAGTTCTATCATGTAAGGTACTGCTTTCCCCTTTTACAGCTCAGATGCTGTCATAGATGTAGAGCTGCCACATGATAATTTAAGAACGTTGCATAGAAGCATGGCTAATAGGATGCTTAGAGTGTCAATATATTGGATTTAACA